TATGTACAAAAGTGCTTGACACAATGGATGGATGGACGGATTGTGATAAGAGCTGTAAGAGCCCCCAATAAAAGGATTTTTTTAAAAGGGAAAAAGGACCAATAGTCTTAGAAACCCTCCGGAGCAGTTCTGCTCTGTCCGGCAGGATGGCTATGGATCAGAATCACCTCCATGGTGGTGGGTGATCCCTTCGCCATACGTGTCCCACCCCGGCCCCCATAACAATTTATTTTGAGCCATCCTTCAACTCCATCCAACCTGAAGCGCCCTCTCCTGAGCAAACATACACCGGTCACCTGTCTGCTGTTCACATTTCCCTCCCCTTCCTGGAGGTAAAGTACTTGGGGACCCAGAAAGTAGGACAGACACTCATGACCTGACCAAAATAGCACAGCGAGGCCATCTTCCCTCCCTCGGGTGCAGGGCCAGGCTCTGCAAACGGAGCATCTAAAGAGAGAAAGCCCGGTTAGCTTGAGGCTGACTGAGCTCACCTGGGACATCCACCAAGGCTTCCTAGAGATCCACTCACAAGGGCCTATGTTTTACCAAAAGCAGAATTTGTCCAGCCCCTGTATTTGGCTGGGAATTGTTGGTGTTAGGAGACGCTCAAACCAAAGCAATTAAACTCCAGTGAGAAAGAGCTCTAAAACGAGGCTCAGAACGTTGTCACGGCATGGAGTGATGGCAAGAGGCAGCAGGGAGGGCCGTGAAGAGCAGGAGAGATGAGGCAGAGGGGGTTGGAGGGCAGGAAGCATTGAGCATTAACAACACCGGATAGAAAGTCCGTTTCCTGCCCTCTGCATAGAACTCACCACACCACAGTAGCGTTATCTCCTGGGAGAGACTGAAAAGTTCAGGTCTGCTCTCTGCCTAGACGAGGAAGAGAGGCAGAGAGGAGGAACTGCATTTTTATTTATTTATTTGGCCAAAATGCCCCTGTTGTTGGCCACCGTGAACTCCCCCATGCCCAGGCCCAGTGCTGCCAGAAAGCTCCATCACTGAACCGCTGCTAGGAAGTGACCCACCCCCACCCCCTTCCCGGCTGGGAGCTCAAGGATGGCTTCCAGCGATGCCATTACCGTAATGAAAACGGTAAAGAAGCTATCAAGGCTGACTTCGATGACGAAATCCGAGAGGTGGGCCAGGAGGTGGCTGGGAACCAGACCAGAATTCACAATCAGGCCGTGAGACTGCAAATAGGTCAAAAGAGCCTGTGCACTGCACCTGTGGGTGGTCAATCCTTGGCACCTACTGTAAAGGCCAGAGGGCCCATCACATGCGTGGGCCAAGGGGGACCAGGGCTTCAGGAGCGTGGTCTCAGCCTTCTCCTCTTTGGCCCCCATCTCCTTCCCCAAAGCTCCCTTTCTGCCTGCTGCCTGAGGGCTTGGAGTTGCGTCCACTGAGTAGCCCTGCGGTGGGTAATCAAGTGGATCGGTCCGGGTTGAAATGGACCGTGGACAGAGCAGCAGGTTGCTGGGGCG